CCCCTTCGGTGCCATCTCGCGGACCAGTTGAAGTGTGCTCTGCAGTCTTCGGATATCTGCAAAGATGCACGCGTTCTCCCGAGCAGCCAAACGGCTAAGCACGGAGTGCGGCAAGCCTAATCAGGGAAAGGACCGAAGGCATGTCCATCAGAGGAACACTGAGACGACGGAACAGCACGCTGAGGATGCGAAGCCATGCGTCGCAATCCCATGCTTAACCTAGCTGTGTCAAGCTGCGCAGTGCTATGCAACGCAATGCAACGCAATGCTACGCAATGTGGTGCAATGCGACGCTAGACGCATTCCCCGAACCGACAGCTTGAACGACCAATCCGCGCGGCGCGTGGCCGACAGCACGTGAGATCTTTTCACTGACACGAATCGGGCCATACGACGCATGGGTTGTCATCCGACCCGAACGCCTTTGCGATCGGGCCCAAGGCACTCGCTGGCCCTTCGGGCAACGTGGCTTGCGAGCAATCCTCCGACCCGAATGTTCCTGGGATCGGGCCCAAGGCGCGCGAGGTACTCCCAATGCAATGCTACGCTATGCGATGCCGCACCATGCCACGCTATGAACATACATGCGCGTGTGTGCGTATATCGGTATGGTTATTTGCGTTCCGTGCTTTGATGCACTTGTAAACGTATATGTAAATGTGTATGTGTATGCACAAAAAATGAGTATGCACGCGCGCATAGATGCGTACATGTACATGTAATTGTAACCGTGCATGTAAGTGCCGTCCAACTATTACTGTGCTTGCACACCGCAAGTTGTAACAGGTCTAAGTACATGTAACCATAACTGTAAGTGTAAATGCGAGTGCACATGTTTATGTATGTGCATATGTATATCTAGGTGCGCATGTATTTGCACGGAAATAGCATCAACCCGATCGCCCAAGCGGTCGGATCGAATGCGCGGGTGCGCCGACCTAGAATATTAGGTTCCACCTAGAACATGTTAGGTTGACCTAAGATGTTTTAGGACAGTTCGGCCTGACCTAGAAATCTAGGTCAGCGGCCCTCCAGGCAGAGCCCGAGGCGCGCGGGCGACGCTGCCGGCAGCCCCCTCTCTCCGAGCTCCCTCTGCGTAGGCCCCTTGGCGATGCATCGGCGACGTCGGCGTGGGACCAAACCTTTGTGGGCCCCGGAAAAGGCAGGGCCGGTTTTTCATCGTTTCCGAAAAAAACGCCCCTTGAAAATGGAAACGGCAAAAAGACGGCGACCGGAAACGGCAACAAAAACGGCTCCAGGATTGGAACCGGAGCCGGAACCGGCCAAAAAACGGCGGCTGAACCGGCAACAAAAACGGCGTCGGAACATGCAAAAAACGGCAAACCGGAACTGGTTAAAAAACGGCACTGTCGCTTCCAAGGCCCACTGAGGACCAGACACTGGCCCCACATCGAGCCGAATCGCCGATGCATCGGATGAGGAGGAGGAGGAGGAGGAGAAGAAGAATGAGGAGGAGGAGAACGAGGAACGGAACGGAACGGAAGACCCGAAGGGGAGTGCACAGCACTAAATATATAAGCAGGGCTTAAAATATTCGAACAGAACAAACTTATATTATGGAATTGGCCGCTTTGGCCTGTTCCTTAAGACGGACCATTTCACATAAGGCTGACGCACGCTGCTCATAGGAGGGGGCCGTCCAGGAACTTGAGTGCGAGGCCCTCGCAACCGTCGGAGCGTCTGGGACAGGAGGGGCGGCGGATAGGCCAAGCCTAGCAAGAGGAAGCGCACGATCGAGAGCAGCCCGCACTCTGGGGTTCGGGCAATGGCCCTTCCTGAACTCAAGCAAAATCTCCAAACCTTTGCGAGACGGAGCCTCACGCTGACGGCCTGATTTCAAACCCCTCCCTTGGGACCAACCCCCGCAACGAAGACAGAGGATCTGCCCCCTGGACGGGCGCCGACACGACGCAGGCCTCGCACCAGGATGCGACCTAGATCCGACCATGGCGACGAGCTTGTGGCCCATGGAGTCAGGGAGCAGACCGCGGAAGAACGGCGGCAGCCCGCGACAACCATCCATCGGGACGGTATCGTAGCTGCCTTCAGCAACCCTGAAAAAGTTCCTGCACTGGAGGCCAAGCTCACTCTTTTTCCAAACGTGCCACGACACTTGTCGCCGCGACCTCGGGGCACTGGTTCGGTGAGGACTTGCCCACCGCACCCCGTTGTCAGAACAGGGAAGAACACTCGCTGCAAGCTTCATGAAATGCCCCGCTCGTTCGCCAGCCAAATTCAAATCATTGATGAAGTCTGGCGTGGGGGCAGGGTGCATGCTGTCAGCAGCGGCATTGGCAATGGCAAAGACCTGTTCTTCGCCATCTAGGCCCTGAATCTCTGACTCATCTCTATGAGCCTTCACGTGCCGGATTTCCTGAATCAGGGCTGTGCCTTCAAGCTGCTGCGCAAAAGCTCGCACTCCAGCGTGCTAGCTGGAGAGGGCGAGCAGGTCATTCACATTTTTCTGACACAATCTGATGGCGGCTTCGCAGTCGGCCCCGAGAACTGTAGGGCGCGAGGCTATCTGACCGCAAATCGCAATGCCACAGTGTTCGGCCATGGCTGGCGTCTGCGGCAGCACTCCTGGGACGATGCCTTTGACCACCGCCACAGGATCCTCTCCCTCGTCTGGGCAGACAGCTACTGCCCATGCAGCCCGCTGCAGCGGCCGAATCCAAGGCTTCGTGCTCGAACCATCGGACGCCAATCGCAGCGGGAACTGGGAGGTTAAATCAGCGATCGATTCAGGCTCCATGTCCACCTCGTTTCCCTGCCCGTCATAGAGATACACCTCAGACGACATGGACGGGCAAGGCAGCGAGCCATCTCCATACGTGTACACCGCGCGCGTGAAAATTGGGTTGTCGGGCTCGTCGCGCGCAGCGCTGAGGAAAGAAGCAGGCACCTCAGATGTTGCGCGCGCCTCGAGAACTCGGGGAAACGCGCAGGAATAGAGCCTGTGGTGGACTGCGTCCTGCTCGCCACACCCACACAACCCGTCACACAAGTAACACGAACGCCAAGCTCGCGCATGGGTCCGCAGTCCACCACATCCGCAGCTCTTGACTATGTACGTCTGAAATCGGTTTAACTTTCTGGCTTTCGGCCCCACGGCGTCCCGAATCAGGTCCCGAGTGGCCCTGGTTCCTGGGGGAAACCCGAGCTTCCGAGCAAAATCCAGCTCCCTCTCTCTCTCTCTCTCTCTCTCTCTGCAGTCCAGCTTCCATCTGTGCTGCTGAGAGGGCAGGGGGCGTCGCAGACAAATCAACTTGGAGACCTTGGTGGTCTATCCAAGAGGGCGGACCTTCAGCGTGCCAGCCAGCGTGCTTCAAACTCAGGACGGCTCTAGAAATATGCCCCTGGGACTTGTTCCAAGAGGGGCACTCGAGAGGCCTAGACAGCTCCCAAAGTTTCACAAGCTCAGCGTGTGAGACAAGAGATACATCAGTGCGCCGCAAAGCGGTCCATATCATCCTGCACCATTGCACAGCTGGGGCTATTGCAAAGCAGGCACTTCCGTCAGCAAACAAAACACCCTTAGCCGTTAGCGAAACGCCAATACCAAGGCATGCGACACTTGTCTTGCACACTGACAGAGGTAGGTGCAGTGCCGTGCACACATCTCTAGCAGGCTCCTTGGATGTGGACAGGATGGACGGCTTGCCTGGGTGCAGCTCAGCTTCCAGCTTAGCGCTGGCGGCCTTGAACTGGTTCATGCCAGCGACGGCCACCGACTTGGCTATCACGTAGTCGCTGGGCGAAACGTGGAACCCTGCGTCATCGATGTAGTTCTGGAAATCCACGAATGGTGCCAGCTCTACGAAGGTGTCGAAGGCATCGACAGCATGGACCTTGATCGCAATGTCGCTGTAGCCGTCGCCTGCGAGCAAGCCGCGTGTGGCCACTAGAGCCAGTTGAGCATGGTGCCTCCCGAGTCGGATGATCCTCGGGCACGCCCACATGTTAACGACGAGCTTCAGCCAACAAACTGGGGCTCCATGTCGCTGGAACTTGATGCGCAAGTCCTCCAAAGGAATCGACTCATAATATTTACTCCAGTCTGCAACAATCAGAACTCCGTACTTGTGCGCGGTCTGGTTGCTCTCAGACCGCGCCGCCTGCAGCCAAGCGCAATCAGTGGCAGAACGCCCACGACTAGCACCCCTGTAGCGTCGATCAAGTTCAGAGTGCATGTGGTCAACCATGGGTTTGCGTGCTCGCTGCCACGTTCGATATACAGCTGCGTACAATATAATTAATCGATTGCCACCCGACGGTTTGCCTAACATCGGCATCTGGATCCAGCACAGCTGCTTGGGCAGCATCCCGATGGCCTCCGACGCCGACAGCAGCAGCGCTAGCGTGTCTAGGCCGTCATCGTCCAGCAGCATCAGGTGCCTGGGGTGGAAGTTATCGTGGCTCGCGGTCGTCCTTGCAGGGAAGGACTGCGCTGCCCGTCGTAGATCATCTGGCTTGAGTCGCGGACACATGGATCGATCAGTTGATTAGAGACCGCGCCTGAGCAACCGTGGCATCCATACGCGCATTGAATCCTTGCCCTGGATAGGGCGAGATGGCAAACGTGGCGATCTCCTCTGAACACGTCATCATGGAATCATTCTTGCCATACAATGCTTGAATTGTAGTGATGGCGTTCTGAAGCCATTGCCATCCGTGAGAGATACTTTGAACATCGCTGCTGTCTTTGGTCGGGTGGGAAACTTTTACCCATCCTGGCTCCAGGTTCCTCGCATAGACTCCTGGCTCGCGCAGCTCCACTCCCGTGTTCTGCGCTATGTACCCAGCGAATGTCGGAGGAGGACGAGGAGGACGAGGAGGAGGAGGAGGAGGGGATGCAGCGCCATGGGAGGAGGAGAAGGAGGAGGAGGAGGAGGAGGAGGAGGAGGAGGACGAGGAGGACGAGGAGGAGGAGGAGGAGGAGGAGGAGAAGGAGGAGGAGGAGGAGGAGGAGGAGGCGATGCAGCGGCGATGCGGCGCCATCCTCCGAGAGGCCCGGTGCGCGGCCGAAGGCCACGCGCCGGGGGGGGGGGGCGAGCGGGGAGCGCACGCGGCGCGCGGGGCTCACCACCGCGGCGGCAGCCGCCGCTGCAGCTCCGCGAGGCCCGCGTCGACGTCGCGGAGCGCGCGCGACTTCGGCGGCGGAGGCCCTGGCGACGGAGAGGCACTCGGACGGGGAACGACCCCACATCACTGGTTGTAGGGGCCACATGCGAACCCTACCCCTACCCCCCACGATTTCTGAAGGGGAGGGTGGGGTTCACTTTGCTCGGGAGCTCCCGAACGAAGTGAACCCCACCCTGCCCCTCAGAAATCGTGGGGGGTAGCGGGTAGGGTTCGCATGCTGGAGGCGGAACTAGTTACTTGCTCGCGTCGCGACGCAAATCACGGCGGGACATCGTTTGCCGTCTCCGGCCCCTGCGGGCCCTGAGGCCGTCACACACACAGAGCTCGGCGGTAAGCGCTGGGGGAAAGCGAGAAGGGGAGCGCCTTCTCAGAAGGCTCGGAAGCCCCCCGGCCCCCGAGAAGTTTCCCGAGCCTTCCCAGAGGACACACAAGAGACCTCTCTCAGAAGGCGCAAGGGCTTCTGAGAAGTCCCGCTGCCTTCTGAGCAGGCCTTCTCCTCCTCACCTTCCCCCCCTCGCTCGCCGCAGAAACAACGACGGCGGGAGAAAGCACAACAAAAACGGTCCCAGCCGTGACGAGAGGAGGGCTCGGCGCATATCCGCGGGCCCGCCTCCGACCGCGACCGCACAAGGAGCGGGGGGGAACTGGCCCAGACGGGGGGGGAGCATCGAGTTTCGGCGGCGGGCGAGGGGGGGAAGGTGAGCAGGAGAAGGCCTTCTCAGAAGGCGGCGGGGCCTCTCAGCAGCCCTCGCGCCTTCTGAGAGGTTTTTTGCCTGTCTTCGGGGAAGGCTGAGAAAGCTTCTCAGAAGAGGGCCGGGGGACTTCCTTCTTCTGAGACGGCCTTCTCCTTCTCACTTCCCCCCCTCGCTCGCCGCCGAGAGCTGGAAGCAGCGATCCATCGTCGACGACAGATCGGCGATGCTTACTTGTTGCACCCTGTGTGCTCCTACTTGGCCTTCGCTCCTGGGCCGCCTTTGGCGGTCTTCGGACGATGCTCGGCGGGATCCGACGGTCTTCGGCGCTCTTCGCACGGTCTTCGGCGACCTTTGGCGGCTGCCTACGGCTTTCGGCGCGAAAGCTGGATCGTTGCGGTCGACTCGGGCCGGGCGAAAGGAGGGGATAGCAAAGGGGGGGCCCAGGTTGAGAATCGGCTTACGTAGCTGATTGTTCCGGCGCCTCCCGGCGCCAGGAGGCGCCCATGTATCGAGGAATGGGCCCCTCGGTGGGGCCGAAACCAGCTGCATGCAGCACATCTCGTAACCCCACCTTTCCCAATCCCCCCTTTCGTCCGGCCCGAGAAGACCCAGAACCCGGAACTGTCCCCTCCTATAGCGTTGCCCCAGAGCCTCTACCCCTCCAACGTTGCTACCCATTTCGGGCGTCCAGAGCTGGAAAGCACCCCGAGGCCGGAAAGCCGCCGGGAGCCGACGAGCACGCGCGAAGACCCCGAGCCCGAAACTGTCCCCTCCCAGCGTTGCCCCGGAGCCTCTACCCCTCCAACGTTGCCACCAAAGGCCCCTCGGGGGGGAAGGGGCGGGCCGGGCACCCCCGGAGGGATCCCTCGGCGAGGCGCAGCCGCTGGAGAAAGCACCCCGAGGCCGGAAGGCCGCCGGGAGCCGACGAAGACGCGCCAGGACCCCGAACCCGAAGCTGTCCCCTTAGGGGGCCACATGCGAAGCCTACCCCTACCCCCCACGATTTCGGAGGGGGAGGGTGGGGGTCACTTCGCTCGGACCCTCCCCCTCAGAAATCGTGGGGGGTAGGGATAGGGTTCGCATGTGGCCCTACCCCTCCTATCGCGTTGCCCCGGAGCCTCTGCCCCTCCAGCGTTGCTGCCAGAGGCCCTTTGGGGGGGGAAGGGGGCGGGCTGGCGGCCCGGCCGTGCAGAGAGGAGAGCGAAGGGCAGCATCGCGGGCCGCCTCGGGTCGAGACCGCGGTGGCGTTGCCGAGCTCTGTCTGAGCACATGCTCGCCATCGCTCGGACGTCCATTCCCTGTGTTTGTTCGGTTTCGTGCGTGGTTTTTCCACCAAATGATCAAGGATGCTCCTCGATGGTCCTCGCCGAAGGAAAAATGCACACGCCCGAGCGATGCCAAGCATGCCGCAAGAAGGGATCCTTTGGCAACCCATGGGAGCCTCCCGTACCATCTCGGTCGCTCTTGCGAATCCACGCTCATCGCCACTAACTTACCCGGCGCCAGTCGACGCCAAATCGACGCCGAATCGACGCCAGTCGATGCTACCTCGGCGCTATCTCATTGACTACCAGACGCTAGTCGACGCTAGTGCACTCCACTCGAAACACCACATTGCGAGGGTATACGAGGCTCCACAGGCCCGCAAGAGGTCCTACAACTTCTCCTAAGCGGGGCCCCCGAAAGCGCCCCCTGAGAACTCTGACCCGCAACCCAGGCGCGGTGGCTCCCATGATTTACTAACCTATGTTTTGATATTGTTTTGGTTTCTCTCTATCCCTCTCTCTCTCTCTCTCTATTCGTCCTCCCTCCCTCCCTCCAAATCCGTTCCGCGTGTCCTCAGTCGACGCTCCTTCGCACCCTGCCAGCTGCCATGGTTCTGCAGGCGTCTTCGGCAGGGCTGGATCGAATCCTCGAGCGCATTCGAAAACACCCCGGCACACCGAGAGCCAGGGCGCCGTGTACACCGCCACTGTTCGCACATACTGCGCGAAACTCGATCTTAAAATCCGTGAGAGTTATAAGATGTCGACGATGTCCAGCATTCGCGCGAGACGTCGCACGCGTGCCACTTCTGTATACCTGTTGCAAGGGACTGTTGAGCACTGACGATTTGTGCTAAGCGAGTGCGCGCGCAAAGCAGGGTTTGTCAAGGATAAAGAGGGGAGGGGGTCGGTAAGGGCCCCCCCCCCAGGGATGATATGAATTCACACTGAAAGCGAGGGATGGGGCCGACTCAAATGTTGCACTATCCTGGGGGGGGCGAAAAAAACCGAGGGTGGGGAATCCAAATCCCACAAGCTCTGGGCGTAGGTGGTCTAAAGATAGATACGAGTTCTTTCCTCTTCCAAAAACCATCTCCTCCTTTGGGGAGGCGTGTATCACTTTTCCCTATTAATAAGCACCCCCTCCCCCACCCAGCCGGCGGCCAACCCGGAACAACGCCATCCCCCCCACCACCCGTCAAAAAGCACTACAAAACACACTCTGCTGCCACATTCAGAGCATGCGCGGCCGCCCCGTGACCACTTTGCACTGATATTTTACAAGGACGGCCGGGGTGAGGAGGAGGAGGAGGAGGAGGAGGAGGAAGAGGAGGAGGAAGAGGAGGAGGAAGAGAGAAGACCCAAGGAGGTCCAGGACGTCGGGGGCGGGGGGCTTCGAGTCAATGGCCAGACTCGAGCCCTGTTCAGTGTCGACGATATCTCTACTGAGCACTCCCCGGCCGCGATTTCGAGAATGCCGCTGACGAGTTTGAATTTCGTTATGTACGCATCTCTGCACCAAGACGGATGGGCATGGTACATGGCCCCCTGTTTCGCGAATTGATCAGCGAGGCGATGTCCTTCCTACCTCGAGAGGCCGATGCGCTGCCGCTCAGCCCTCGTGGCGCGGGCCTCACCATGCAGAAAAACAAAAAAAACGGCCTCGGGCCGACGCCGCCGACGCCGCCGACAGCGGCCCAGATCTGGTCCTACAAGTCTTGGTGCTTGCGGCTCCTCCGATCCAGCGCCTGCGGCCCCTTGGCTAGGCCGTCCAGCGCGTTCTGGCAGTCCGTGAAGATACGCAGCGGCGTAGTGGCAACTTTGATCGCCTGCAGCACTGCGTGCAGTACCGCTCGTGGAATGCTCTGCGGCCCTGGCAAAGGCCCGAAACAAGCGCGCTCCAGCTCGAGGTCGTCATCGATGCGGATGAATCCCCGGCCTGCGCGCCGCAGCGGTGCGAAGTCGCCGAACTGCCACGAGCCGCCGGTGTAGATGTCACCCGTCGCTAAGCCGCGCCACTCGCCCTCGGTGAGCCACGCGTCGCATGACTCGAGGTTCCACAAGCTTAGCTCCTCCGCAGGGTCACTGGTGATGCCGCGCCCCCACAATGCCTCGGCCCCTGGTCCAGGCCAAGGGTTGAACGATGCGTCGGCCTCCAACTCGCTCTCGATGTGCATGTCGAGCTAGACAGGCAAAAGTACGGTGACGTTCTGTGCCTGCTGCCGTCCAGCATGCTCTGCAAATGGCATCTAGCGCCGCCCCCATCGCGTGGAGGCGCGCCTGTGGCCATGATCCGCCGCAGAACAGGACTCGTGCTCGTGCGCGGAGAGCTTGTGTCCAGCGTCCGCGTAGCGGCCTCCGTAGCAGCGCCCTCGCGGGCTCGATGAAGATAGAACCGATGCCGTGGATCTGGCCCCACTGCTGAACCAACCCGTCCTTCAGCTGCTTCTCCGTCGCCGTGCGCACGAGGTGGTACAGCTCCTGCAGCAACGTGTAGCTCAGGTCGTACACCTGCCCGTCGACCGCGATGCTGTGGTCGGCCTGCGCCATCCAGCCGAGCCGCCTCACCGCGGCCACGAAGGCTCCAGCAGGGCCACGCACAATCTGCCAGGGCACCTTGCTCTTGGCCACCTTCATGACCCGCGTCCCCCATGCGCTCTGCAGCTGATCCATTAGCTGCTTGTCGGTGTTGGCCTCCTGCCACGCGGTCACGATGATGGGCCCGCTGTTCAAGAGGCATCCTGGATCCACGTCGTCGCGCTCAGCAGCGTGAGGTTGGTGGACCTGTCCTTGGTGCAGCCTGGCATGGCGGTGGCCACTCTCGTCCGCAGCTCCTGCAGCTTGGAGTCCGCCATGCCCACCGTCGCCGAGCCGTAGAGCAGCGCTGGCACCTTGGCATGGCGCACCAGCATCTGCGTTGCTCCTCCTGCCCTTCGCACTACTGCAATCCGCGACTGCCTCGCCGCAAACTTCAGTGCGCGCATATTGGTGGCTCCAACTCGGCGTCGCCTGTCAGCCGCCGAGGTCACGCCGAGGTGCTTCTCGTGCATGACGACGCGCACCCCCAGGCGTCTGGAGCTCGTGTTGATGATGTCGCCCAGCGCGGTCTTGGAGGTCAGGGTGACCGTCATGACCTCCGCGCCGCGCGAGACTGCCATGTCCAGCCTCACTTCGAACATGTAGATCACTGCCGCGGTGAGCTTGGGGTGAAGGTGCTGGACAGACTCCCTGAGGCCATGCGTGGCCATGGCGAGGTCGTCGAAGAATAAGCAGGTGCCCGCCCAGGGATACCGGTTGACCAGGTCGTCCAGCTCCAGGATGATCACCATCTTGAGGCAGAACGGCGCGTAGTGGCTGCCGGCCACGATGCCCCGCTGCCGCGCCTTGCCCGTCGTGTAGCACCCGTCGAGGACGATGCGCCGCACCATGTTGTAGATCCTCAGGACGACTCCCATGATGATGGGGTTGAAGCGCCACCGCCTCGCCGCCGCCCAAACCTTCTCGTGCGTGACCAACTCGAAGCACTTGACCGGGTCGACGTAGATCACCGCGTACTCGTAGCCGCCAGCTCGCGCTGCCTCGCAGCACAACGCCTGGAGCCAGGCTGCGCGCTCCGAAGAGCGCCCGCGCCGAGCCCAGTCATGGGCTATCTGGCCGGCCGCCTCCCAGCGCCTGGCGTACGGGATGCGGATGGTCTCCCACACGCGCGCCAGCTCGGGGATGAGGCCGAGGTTGCGGTAGCCGCCTGCAGGTTTCGCCATCAGGTAGAACAGGATGGTCGCCTGTGCCAGCGGCCACGGCGCGCCTCGCTCCACTGCATTTAGAACGCTTCCCACGCGTGCCGCTCCGTGAACTCCTCCATGTCTCCAAAGGCGCGGGTGCCCGTCTTGGCGCGAAAGCGCCCGCACGCGTCCAGTACCTCCTTGGGCGTGATCCTCGGGACTGCGTACTCCTCGCGTTCCATGTCGCTCGGTGGCTGGCAACAGGGCGCGTCGGGGTCGTATTCGTCTGGACAATGGGGGAGGTGGAGGAGGAGAAGGAGGAGGAGGAGGAGGAGGAGGAGGCGGAGGCGGAGGCGGAGGCGGAGGCGGAGGCGGACGAGGGGGCGGGTCAGGGGACGCATCGAATGAAGAAGCGATGGCCGTGAAATCTGGGGAGATCTCACGGCCCTGGCCATGGTAGGCAACCTCTCCCCTGATCATCACCCCCCTCTTTCGACGCCTGGCAAATTCGGGCCATAAGCAAAGCCTCCGGCGGCCGTTCGGGACGATCCACGCGCCTCCGCAAAGCCCTCGACGAGGCGCAGCTGCTTGGAAGCATCCCGAGGCTAGAAAACCTTGCTGAGAAAATGCGAAGTCAGTCGAGAGCTTCGATCTCCGAACGCCCGAACGCCATCGCCCGTCCCCCACCCCACACCGAGTCAACACCCCCCTCCTTGGACGACCCCGCACTCCCCTCCCCCCCGCCCCCCTTGCCATCGCTCTCGGACGTCCATGCCCGATGCATGTGTCGGTTCCGTGCGCGCCTTCCTGTTTTCTCCCTAGATGGCCCAGGATGCTCCTCGATGCTCCTCGCCAAGGAAACACCCACACGCCCGAGCGACGCCAAGCCCCCTCGGGGATCTCCTGACCCGGGTCAATCTAGACCCGGGTCAGCCAGGCCTGCAAAATCCTGAAAGATCCTGCAAATCCTGAAAAATCCTGCAAGATCCTGCAGGATCCTGCACCCAAGCCCGGGTCAGTGCACCCCTGGCTCTGCAGGATCCTGCAAGATCTGTCGCCCTGGCTGAACCCCCGTTTGCATTGACCCGACCCCCCTCTCAAGGCTCCCGCCCCCCCCGCCCACCACCCGCGCCTCCGGCGCCCGCGCTCGCCCGGGCGGCCTCGGGGCCCCCGGCGGCCGCGCACGCCGCAGCGAGCCGCGCCAGGTCTCCTCCGCGGGGCAGGGCCGGCCAGCGCCGGGCCGCGACGGCGCGCCGTGCTCGGAGGGCCTCGTCGGATCGGTTCTGAGGCCACTGCTGTGTCAAGGGCTCCCAGCTTCGCGCTTCGCCCGGCGCGAAGCGCGAAGTGCGAATCACTTCGCGCTCTCGCCCGGCGCCTCCCAGGAGAGAAGAGGATGATGAGGAGGGAGCGGAGCCGGACCGCGAAGCGCGAAGCGCGAATGACTTCGCGCCCTCGAGGGCGCCCTTGTGTGTCGGCGGCGGGCGGAGGGGGGAAGGGAGAGGGAGAAGGCCTTCCGAGAAGGCGGCGGGACTTCTCAGAAGCCCTCGCGCCTTCCGAGGGGCTCTCTCTATGTGTTCGGGGCGGGCTTAGGACAACTTCTCAGAAAGGCCCTGGGACACACAAACAAATATACACAAATAAGAGGATTCCCCATATTCTTCCATATTTTCGGGGTTTGGGTCTTCCCCCCCACTTCCCATATTTTCCAATATTTTCTCGGGAATCGACGATGAATTGTGTCTATGTGTTTTTGTTCCCTCCTGATTCTCGGAAGGCCGGGGGTTGTCCGAGCCTCCTGAGAAGGCCCGCCCCTTCTCAGCCCTCCCCCCCGGGCGCCGGCTCCTATACTGGTCGAGGTCTTCCGCGGAATGCTTGAGGAGGAGCAAAGGGCCATTGGGGGGCTGCTGTGCGTGACTGAGCCGCGGATGACTGAGCATTCGCCTAAGGTGGAGGGCTCAGGGTGAAGTCCACATGGGCTTGTGCACCTCGAAGATCCATGTGTCTTGTGGTTCACCTCTGGCGAATTCAATCCTGGAACATCCATGGAAACGGCATTTCAGATGTCACCCTATGCCCTCCAACCAAAAAAAATGCTCGGGATGAGGCGGGACCAAGCCGGATGAAGCGGTGCTGGGCAGGATTGGGGAGAATTGCGCGGGATTGGCCCGGACTGAGCCCGAGTGCGGGCCAGGGCAGAGTCAAAAATTGGACCTCCCTGGAGCTGCATCCGAAAGACCACCGGGCTGCGTCGGTACGGAATCGGGCTCGAACCGGATCGGCTGCGCCGGGATGCACAGCGTTGCCATGCAGACATCGGGCCGCAACGGATCGTCGGAAGAGCAGGATCGAAGCGGATCGGGTCGACCCAAACCGACATCGAATCGGATTGATCGGATCGAAGTGGACCCTCGCCATCGCTCGGACGTCCATTCCCTGTGTTTTTGCTGGGTTTCGTGCGTGGTTGTTTCGCCAAATGATCCAGGATGCTCCTCGAAGGTCCTCGCCGAAGGAAAAATGCACACGCCCGAGCGATGCCAGGGGATTGATCGGATCGAAAGGGGCCCTGCGGAGGGGGGAGCTCCCAGAGCAGCAGGCTGCCCAGAAGCTGCAGCCAGGAGCCGCGCGCGAGCCTCCGGAGCGCCGCCGGGAATAGCCGAGGGGCTGGAGCCGAGGGTCCAGGAGGCGCTGCTTTTGTCAGCTGCGCAGGCGCTGGCCGCCCAAGTGTTTGGGAGCGGTTGCCAGCACACGCTGCAGCTTCCAGCAGCTTTCTCCGAGGGTGCCAGCTCGGCGGCCGTGAGAATGACGCTGGCTAGGCTGCTCCCCTGTGGCGGCGGGTGGCAGGTGGGCGGTTCCCGAAGAATCACAAGACAGCTGGCCGCTTGGGCCCCGCCGCCAGCCCAAACGGCGAGCATAAATCGGGCGTAGCCCCGCACGCATTCGAATGCCAACACTTCATCCTCGTACTACTCGTATTCCTCCCCGTCCTCCTCCCCATCCTGATCGTCGTCGTCGTCCTCCTCCTCCTCGTCCTTCTCATCCTCCTCGTCTTCCTCGTCTTCCTCCTGCTCCAGCTCCTCCTCGTCGCCCTCGTCTAGGAACGTCTGCGTTCTCGGTGGCGCGTGAAATCCAAGCCGGCTCGGGAGCGAGCGGAGTCGTCGTCAAAGTTACGTCGGCGGCTGCCGAGTTGGGCATAGAGCGCGGCAGTGGCGTGAAGAGTTCCAAGCCTCGCCACTCTAAGCGCATTGCCTCGGCGCGTCGGCGCATGACTCGCATTCATAAGCTGGCTCGAGTGGCTTATATGACCTCCGAATTCAAAGAGGAAGTGTTCGATCGACGCACATCTCTGGGCTGGAGCCTCCAAGTTTCGCAATGGTCTAGGTGCTGAGAACGGCGTTGCTTTCACGGTCGTTCGCTGTCATCTAGCTAGCTTGCGGAAAAAGAATTTCCAGCAGGCTGGCAATTTGCGAGCGATTCTCACAAGCGCAGTACGGACCCGCGCTCGCATCATCAGTGCGGGGGGAGACTCTGCTGAAATTTGCCCGAGATGTGGAGTTTCAGTGGAAACTGATGCTCACAGGTTCTGGGAGTGCCCTTGCAATTCGGAGTTCCAAGAGATCTCGGAGGCCTTCGCTCGACGAGGGGTCGCAGCTGCCAACGAGTGTCCTGTTCTCTGGCTCCGCGGCCTCACACCCAAGTCTTGGACCCACGTTCCTCCTTCCGAGTCGCCTCTCTTCGCTGCGTCAGGTGCCTTTCCCCAGGTGGAGGGGCGTCGCATCTGGGGAGCGGGGGACGCCAGTGGAGGGGAGTTCTCGAGGGATCGCAGGCTAAGGCGGGTGTCTTGGGGCATCGTGCTTTTTGGGCACAGTTCCGAGGAACTCCCCAATTCGGTTGCCGCGTCCAGCCTTGCCCTTGTCGCTGGAGGGGGCATTGCGGGTCAGCAAAGCGTGAACCGTGGGGAGCTCTGGACCCTTTCTGAAGTGTTTGGAGCTGAGCCCTGTGGGATCCCAAGGTGGCCATGTGGCCGTCTCGGCCAATGTCGCCCGAAATGGTCTCTCGCATTGCGGCTGGCACGTTTGCCAGCGTTTCGACCCACCGTGAGTTGTGGTCGCGTATGCGTGAGCTGCTTCGCATTAGGGACCTGCTCCTCGTCCGTGTGCCGAGCCACATTGAGACCAACTGACCGGACCTTCGGGAGGGCAATCCAGCCGTGGCCACGAGACACAGCCCCAACAGGCACGACAGAAAAAGCTCCCGAACCTAGATCCTCGGTGCTCTATATCCGCCACCTTGCCCTTGAGGCATGAGTTGGAGTGTCCCCAGGTCCTGGGCTTAGGTCGGGCATGCCCCCCTACAGGCGGATTCTGGACGAAAAGTAAAACATACCCCAAACATGCCCCAACCTATACCCAGATATAATCCAAACAAAAATCCCCCGATTATTTTTTGGCTACCTTCGATCGAATGTTCCTCCTGTAGAGGGACAGGCCCGACTTGGTCCTGGGCCCGAATGAGGCCTCAGTCCTCAAGGGGGCCCGGGCCCCCAGCAGTGCCAAATCTTCTGGGGCGCGAGGCGCGGCCCCGGGTGGGCTCCCCGCAGCTTCAGGTCGGGCATGTCCTCCTACAGGCGGACGTTGGGCGAAACTTACTGAAGATAGTCAAACAGCTACTCCGAACTTCTGGGAAATCGTCAGAGAGTCGTCCCCAGAATATTGCTTGACTATGTTTGAATCTTCCTTCTGTAGAGGGACAGGCCCGACTTACCCGTAGCCTCTCTCGCGCCACTCCTCTTCGGCCCCGGAGGGGCCCCGAGAGGGCTCCTCCGGCTGGGCGAAACTCTAAACATGGTCAAACAACTACTCCGAACTTATGGGAAATCGTCAAAGAGTCGTCCCCAGACCTTAGTGGGCCCAGGAAACGGCAGGGCCGTTTTTCACCGTTTCCGAAAAAATGCCACTTGAAAATGGAAACGGCAAGAAAACGGCGACCGGAAACGGCAACAAAAACGGCCCCAGGAGCGGAACCGGAGCGGGATCCCGCAAAAGAACGGCGACGGAACCGGTGAAAACACGGCGTCGGGACCGCCCAAAAAAACGGCAAAACAGAACCGGTAACAAAAAACGGCCCTGTCGCTTCCAGGGCCCACGGAGCCCCAGACTACTGCTTGACTCTGTTGGAACCTTCCTCCTGTAGAGGGGCAGGCCCGCCTTCACCGTCGCTTCTCTCGCGCCGCTCCCCCCCACTAAGCCCCAGACTATTGCTTGACTATGCTCGAACCTTCCTCCTGTAGAGGGACAGGCCCGCCTTAGCCGTCGCCTCTCTCGCGCCGCTCCCCTTCGGCCCCGAGAGGGCTCCACGACGGCCCCCCGAGAGGGCTCCACGACGGCCGGGCCACGGACCGCCGCGCGAGCGGCGCCAGACGCCCCGGATCGCCGCACCGATCGGCCCCAGACGCCCGAGATCGCCGCAAGATGGGCTCCAGACGCCCAAGATCGCCGCGCGATCGGCCCCAGACGCCCAAGACTGGCCATCGCTCAGACGTCCATTCCCTTTTTTTTTTGTTTTTTTTTTTAAAAAGTATTTCTCGCCAGATGATCAAGGATGCTCCTAGATTGTCCTCGCCGCAGGAAAAATGCACACGTCCGAGCGATGCCAAGAATATGGCCCCAACACGACCCAAGAAGCCTCCGAGGCGCCCCCTTAGAGAGCCCCAAGGGCCCTCCAGAGAGGGCGCCGAGCCAGAATCGGAGACGTTCCCCAGGATTTTCGGTGTTGCCGGGTTCCTCGGCGTTTCGAGCTTGTGGCGCTCCAAGACGGCCCACCAGGACGGCCCCAGAGGCGCCCAAGACGCCCCCAAGAAGGGCTCAAGATCAGGAACACTGGCCCACAAATCCGAATCTTCTGCCCCAATGTGATCCCAGGAGGCCCCAAGGAGGCCCCCCAGAGGCTCCAAAAGACCCCCAAGAAGGCCCCCAAAGACCGCCAAGAAGCCCCCAACACGCTCCAAGAGGCGTCAAAGCAGCCGCCAAGTAGCTTCGCCACGGCCCCCACCAAGCCCGTGAGATGCCTCCCACGACATAAAAAACGAAACATCCGAGAGGGTTATGACTCACAACCCAGGCACGGTCGCGGGATGGGGCGAAGGCCATTAGATATCCTCCTCCTCGGAGGTGGCTAGGCCAGTCTTCTGTGGCAACTCATGGGAGATTCCCATGCCATCTTGCTGGCTCTTGCGAGCCGATGCTAACCGACGCTAGCCGACGCTAGTCGACGCGAAATCAACGCCCATCGACGCCAAATCGGCGCCTCCTCATCAATGGCCAGACGCCAGCGCACGGAATCGTACGAGGACGTACGAGGCCCCCGCGATCTGATACCGAACCCGTCTCCTTGTATCTGCCGGAGCGCCTCCGCCCGCCCGACGGCCTCCAGCTCGAGGGGAGCCCCCGGCACCCGCCGGACAGCCTGCGGCTGCCGCAGGAGCTCTCCCGGGGCCTGCCGCGCGGACCGGCGACTGCCGCCGCCGACGCCCCCCCGCCAGGCCATCGCCGTCGCCGTCGCCGCCGCCGTCGCCGTCGCCCTCGCCGTCGCCCTCGCCGTCGCCCTCGCCGTCGCCGTCGCCGTCGTCGTCGTCATCGTTGTCAGAGCTCCCCCGCCGCTTCCTCCTCCGCCTCCTCGCAGGGGCCCTCTCTGCCCCCGCCGCCCCCCGTCCCGCCCCGGGAGGCGGCCCGAGCGGTGTCAAGGAGTGCACAGGGCAGTTTTTGATACATGGGTTTTGTTAACCATCTAGGATTTCTGATACATGACTAATGTATGCATAAATTTGTGCATGACCTCATCGTTGTTTTTGATGCTGAACCCCTGCACCTTCATACATGATCCGCATGCGGAGCACGCAATAAAAATGGCACTGTAGATCGGCTCCGCTGGTCGCGGCGCATCGCCGATGCACGGCCGCTGCATCGGTGATGCGGGACCGACCTCTGGGCGGTGGCACGCCCGAGCGCCACACTGTGCCGGGTGACGCTCGGACGCGCCACCACCCAGGGGTCGGCCCCTTGCCGATGGGTTCTCGGTGGCGGTGGTGCATCGGGACTGGGAGGTGATGGGAAGGATGAGAAAGAGGAGAGGGGGGAATGAGTGCGGGTGGCCCCACCCCTCCTATCCCCCCATCCGGAACGGGACCGTCCATGCTTCTCCTCTGAAGAATGATCCCCCCTCCCCCCCCAAGAGATCCGATGCATGGACTACGTGGGTTCCTGGAGGCCGCGGCCCCTTGACCAGGGCCAGATCTGCATCCAGAATTGTGGTTTACGGCCCAGGTTTGGGCGACCCAAAAGGGGGTCCAGCTGAAAGGGGTGTGTGTAATAGATTTGGGGCTATTGCAACTGTATTGCGCCGGATGATTCCATTGCACTGTATTGCAAATAGCGCATCGCACGCGAAGATCCAGCAATACACTTGCGCCCCGAAACGCACTGCACGCCCCCACTGTACTGCAAGCCCACAAATCTATTGCACCAAATCCATGGCACCACCCCCTTGTCGCTGGACCCCCGTTCTGGGGCAACCCGACCCGGGGCCTGGCGAGGGGGCCCCAAAGAGGCCCGAGGGCTGCGAAGCACCTCGGCACTGAATTGCTCACTGCGCGTTCGAGGTCGGGGTTCCCCTCGGGGCCCCTGCAACGCAGGTCTTCGCAAACCCGGGTCAGCCAATATGCGCGGCCGCCTCGCGGCCATGAGCGGCTCGCTAACCCGGGTCAGCCAGAGGGGGTCTTCGCAGGATCCTGCAGGATCCGGTGCCCTGGCTGACCTCCGTTTGCAGTGACCCCCGTCTCAAGGCTCCCGATCCCCCCCTCGCCGCGACCGCCCGGCGTCGGAGCTCTCCCCATCGTCCTGCCCGGGCATCCGCCGAGACAGTCCTGCTCGAGCCGCGGCCCCAGAAAAACAGGGGGCAAACAAACCGACCTCGCTTTTGACCACCCTCGCTTCCAAGAGATACCAAGCGATGCCAAACTCCGGCCTCTACTGGTCAGGCCGCTTGACGAGGAGGCGCGTGGCATGACGTGGTTTTGCCTGGAAGCGAAAGCGGGGTAGGTAATTCACGCTCTGAAGAAGGCTCTCCGGACCCCTCCTCCCCCGGGGGCCCGCACGGCATGGACGGAGGAAGCCCGCCACTGAGCATGTGCTACCAGATTTCTGGGCGCGCGCATCGCTCCTTTGGGGTTGACGCGCACGTCGTAGTAGCACATGTGTGGGCGATGCCGACCAAAATGCATCGGACCGTCGGGTAGCACAGCCGAGTCGCACGATAAGGATGCGCCCTGATTGCGTTACCTCTTCCTCCTTTCCCCTGGGCCAGTGTTGCACCCCGGATCCAAGCGCTGTGGCCCCCGAGCCCGATGACGGGCCCGGGAAGCCGAAATCAAAGAAAAAAATGACGACCCCGTAGCTGGAGATTGCTCGTTTGATGAATGCTGTGTCGTCTTCGTGTTAACCCTATGTTTTCTAATCGGTCGTACTTGCGTACGGAGTATAAGGAATGTTGGTGTAATTATTTCGAGTTTGTGCTCTGGTTTTGTTTTGCAAAGAGAGGACCACGGCGAGGTCCTTCGTCTTCCCCAGGATATTCCAAGGAAAAGAAACACCGTATGAGATCCCGAGGAGAGCCCAAAGAGCTCCCAAGAGATCGATGCGGTGGCGGCGAAATCCTGGGGAATACGAAGTCGGAGAGTGCGAACGCCTTAGAGCCTCGGGAAGACGAGCAGCAGACGCAGGACCACCGCGTGCTGCCAGATGTGCTGTTAGGAAGTGCTTGACCTCCTCCACCTCCTCCTCCTCCTTTTGCTCCTCCTCCTCCTTTTCCTCCTTTTCCTCGGTTGATTTCAAACTCGTTTGGACAATAATTTATATTATAAAAAAAGACTGCCCCACATCCTCCTCAAAGTCTTCCTTATCCTCCTCTTCCCCCTCCTCCTCCTCCTCCTCCTCCTCCTCCTCCTCCTCCTCCTCCTCCTCCTCCTCCTCCTTCCTCTCCATACCTCCTTCCCCCTCCCTCCCTCCCCCTCTCTCTCCTCTTTCCCTCCTGTTCCTCCCAGTAGCACTGCCGCTGTCACTATCCATTGCCTTGGTCACTGCTGCCAGCGCCGATTTCCACGCCCGCCCACCGCCACAACCACGGCGCCAAAGCCTCTGCGCACCAGCAACACTGTCACAAGCAGCCAAGTCTAGCACAACGCACGACCTAGAGCACGAATGCAACTGCGACTTCAATTGCCTCAACCGACATTCCGAATATAGCCACCATTGGAAGCCCTACTCCAATGACACATGCACGATTGCAACAATGAGCTCGCGATCCACCGCTGCCACCCCTACCGCTACCCACGACTGCCTACTGCCACTGCTGTCGCTACAACAGCCGCCACTGAACATGCAACTATCATCACAACAACTACCACGATAATCATCCTTGTTGCTTCCACCTCGATCATACCGATGACATTGAGGAGGGAGGCGCACTCACGAAAATGCTCTGCGATGGCCCCATTTCTCTCAGGGGCGGAAGCCTCAAGACTACACCCGTGGCCCGTTTCCTCTACGTGGATGTCTGGTCGACGCGCGTGCAACGCCCTGCCACCGAGCGTAACCACACCTTCGTTGTCGTACCAATATTGCTCTCCTCATTGTAGCGTTGCAGAAAGCGTAAGCTCACACTTTGTGAAATCAATGGGATGGGGTGCGTCCGATGTATCTCAAGAGCGACGCTCCACGCCAACACGTTCACTCGCCGAGCAAAGCCCCTGCATGTCTGGTGGCTGCGGCCAAACTCTACCACAATTGGTTAAGCCTCTCGAGGGCGGGATCTGACATGCACATCGGCTCAAAGCAAATGATCGCATACAATTATGCGGGACACCGCGTGGCTGACATGCAAGCTTTGTTATATTTTCTAATTCAGCCCATGAACGATCTTATGGAATATCGGTGCCGCAACCCTGGTGTTCCCAACTTCCACCGCTAGGCCACGAAAACGAAGCAAACCATCTACATTGAGGGGTACTGGCTGGAACTTGGGCAGTCGCTCTCAAATCCGTGAATGGTCTCTCGCTTCGGTTCGCCATGCATTCGCTGCGTGGCCCAAACCCACTGTAGTGAGGCAGGCCGATCTCGTTGCACCTCTCTTCCTCGTCCGCTTTTGCCACGAGCAAGACCCCTTTCCGCGTCGCGCCGTCGGGATCTTCGAGCTGCCGGCCACAGCACCCGCCGCCGCCAAAGCATCGAAGTCGGCGAGTATACCGGCCCAGCTCTCGGCACAGACCGCCGAATGCTGCTTTATGCCAAATGCGAACAAGGCTGCGTGATATTCTCGTCACCATGCGTCGCAGCGAGGCGAAAGATATGCACATGCAACTGTTAAGTTTGCGAAGGCTGAGCGGGATTGCGTGGATGAGGTCCTCCACGTCCTTCCCCTGCAAGCATGGGTGGGCATTGGCCCACGCGCGCGATGTGGGACGGCTCAGAAACTCATTCCAAAACAAACAAGTTTTTCATTTCAAGGCCCCGAACCGCATACCAAAATCTCGCTTATGGCGTTGGTGGAACGCACAAAACCATGTCGACGGATGGATGACGTCAGTGACGATCGCCCCCGGGGACCGAAATAATCAAACCATTGATGCAGCATTTGTTTTCCAGATACGCGTTGCCAGTCCATTGCTGACATTCTGTGCAGCACCAACGCTTGCGACAGTGAACATCATCGGGTGGTTGAAACCGTCGTCCAAAGCGCGTTGCATGTGCTGTCGTACTTGGGATGCATACGTGAATCCGTCGTACCAATTCAATAGATGGCCTGCGGCCAAAAAGGGAAATTGAAGCCGCTTCCCGAACGTGTGTCAAGTTCTTAGAGCCAGCCTCCGACGTGTCGTTTTTTTCCAGCAGGGGTCTTGCACCCCACCAGACCGTCAACACGATGTAAGCAGAGACTACATTGCGCAAGCACGCGTGCATTGTCAGATATGTAGTATCTTGTTTTTGAGCTAAATGGAATTTAATTGTTCCCCGTTTCGCGCTCATGGCTTTCCGTATCGTTCGCGTTCCTCGTTCCGTCCGTTTCCTTTCCTTTCCCCTCCCGTCCTCTCCTCTCTTTTTCTTTCCCCTCCCCTCCCCTCCTCATCTCTCTTCTGCTCTCCCTGACCTGTTACTCTCCTCGTCCTCTCCCCCTCCCTTCTGTTCCCCATCCCTCCCCTTATTTCGCCCCTCACCTCGTTCCCTCTCCCCCCCCCTGATTGCCAAACTCAGACTTATCCAGAAGTGGTCTCTTTCTTGTCTGTAGAAAAAGGACCTGGGTTGGAGGGAGGCGTTGGCGCCCGCGGGGGAGGGAGCGACTGGGCGAGCGCGGATTTGGGGCCCAATGCTTTTCTGATCTCTCGAGCAACCCAACCAGTTGCAACCCGCGTATCTTCGGGGGGGCAGCCTGGATCCAATGCCACTTGAAGTGGGGGGACAGGGGTCGAATGACATGCGAAGCTCGCTTTAGGGGTCGGTGGCCACCCCAGTGGCAAATCAACTTGGATGCAATCGTTCGTCCCGGACGTCACCCCTTAGACGGACGCGGTCGTTTGGAGGCGGTGGCAAGCCGGAGGCGCAAAACGCCAGTGCACGCACCGATCCCCCAATCGCGCAGAACCCCACATTACCGCGTTATCTGCGCAACCCAGCCCTGAGGCGCCTCCCGACGAAGATGGGTAAGGGATGCGGAAGGACGAGGGGGAGGGAAGGAAGAGGCCGATCGGACATCTTGAAGGTGGCGGCGCAAACGCTTGGAATATTTGAAAGACATTAAACATGTTCAGATTCACGCATAATTCGCCTCCCGTTTGTTGGACATATGGCGCCTGTTCGGCCCTTCCCGTCAGAATAGGAAGAGGAGGAGGAAGAGGAGGAGGAGGAGGAGGGCGAAGAGGAGGAGGAGGAGGAAAAGGAGGAGGAGGGGGGGGAGAAGGTGGAGGAAGAGCATGGCGGGGAGGAGGAGGAGGAGGAGGAGGAGGAGGGGGAGGAGGTGGAGGAGGAAGAGGAGGTGGAGGAAAGGAGCAGGAAGCGAGAAGGTGGAGGAAGGGAGGAGGACGGGAGGAGGACGGGAGGAGGAATGGAGGGGGAATGGAGGAGGGAGACAGGAGGAGGGAGGAGGAAGGGAGGAGGGAGACAGGAGGAAGATAGCAGGAAGGAGGAAAAAGCCTTAAAAGAAACTCAAACAAAATTCGGAAATCTGATTGTTTCTGATGTTTCTTATTGCTTGCATATGTAATGTGAGATATCTCAGTAATCTGGAGACATCTGAATCTAAACGGCAGCCCAATCACCACCCCCACGTCTCTGGGCCAACACTCAGACCTCGAGTGCACCCCCCGTTGCGCACTTGGCGCAGCCTCTGCTTTCCGTCGCCGACGAAGCACGATTTCAGCGCCTGGCCCTTCTTCGCCGCCGCCTTCATCAGTGCCAGGATTTCCTCGCAAGCGCTGGCGGCCACGAGCGCATCATCGTCCGTCAGGACTTTCTGGTTGATACATTCCGTTTTGATGGCGACAAGCTTGGAGTCCAACAGGGCTTCATCGAGGATGCACTGTTTCATGTCGGCCTCGAACTCGCCCCCCTTGGTGACATCGCACTCCCCGCTCTTGGCGATAAGAGCTTGGTAGTGGCGCTTGGTCCAATCACATTCGCTGTGGGCCTCCCGCACTGATGTGATGGCCTCTTTGCCCCTCTGCTCGTTTGGGTTGGTCCGCGGCGGCTGCGGGCTGGGGGCCCCGCAAGCCGCCTGGCCAACCTGGCGCGGGGAGGGGAGATTGCTCGATATAGCTCGGACAAGAGGGGTCGGATCCCCACTGCGGCCCCTTCCCCCGCCCCCGGCGAACCTTAGGCCTATGGGAAATGGAAAGGGAATCTCAACCAACGAAGCCTCGTTAAGGCTGCTATCGCCCTTTGCTGTCCCCCCTCCCCCTGGGGCCAAGCAAACTCAGGACTGCTCGTCGCGTGAGCGGTGCTTGTGGAAAGGCCCCTGGTCCTCCCCTTCGTCCTCTCCTCCTTCTCTTTCGTGGAAGTTTAGCCCCTGTCGCCGTCGACGCCGCGGCAGGGGCACCGAGCTACTTGCTGGCCCGCTGTCTCAACCGGCTGCGGCCTCCGTCCGAAGCCGCCGCTGTTCCCCGAAGCATTTCGCCATCGGAACTCACGGCCTTCCTGTTGAGGATGTCTTTGGTGAATTCGGTGAATTTGACTAGTTGGTTACTGGGCCACGGGATTTTCGTGTCGTCGCGCAGCTTGGCGTTGAGGCGGGGCTCGACTGTCGGCGGTTTCGCCTTGACAGCCTCCGGCATCGCCTCCCCGCCGTGCTCCTCGCAAGCCTCCTTCCAAGACATCCACTCCCCCTCGATCCCCTCCTCCGTGACGTTCGTGATTTTGGTGACTGTCTCGAGCAGGCTATCGGGCACCCCCTCCTTCGGCTTGAATGCGAGGATCTCCTCCACTAGCGCGCTGAATTCCTCGCTGCCGGGGTATTTTTTGATTTTGCCGTAGATCGCCGGATAGCATTTTTCCAAGCGGTAGTTGAGCTCGTTGCGCGTTTCTTTCGGGATCGTCGCATGCCGTAGGAGGTGTGTTGCCCTGGCATCGCAGGCGTTGCGCCTGCCAACGGTGATTGACCATCTTCAACTCGAGGTGCACGATGCACGATGGTCGCTCGCTGAAGCAACCGCCTCCCGTGGTTGCTCAAGCTCCTCTCCGTCAGCCTCGCGCTTGACACCGCGTGCCCCGAACAGGCACGGCGAAGATGTTGTGTTCAAACTGGAGTTCCATCAGAACGTCGCGCAGCAGCTTGAAGCATGGGGGACCAGTTGGTGCAACCTTCGAGAGAGTGAAGAAGGGTCCTTTGTGTTTCAGTAGGCTGTCCTTGTCAGGCGTGCCGGTGCGAGGACTCCTGTCGTAGAGGCGGCAATCCCACTTGAACCCGGAATCGCGTACTTGGGCAAACGCCGACCATCCACGGACAAGCTCTTTGGAATCGAAGTAACTCGTTTGAGGTCGTGGCGCACGCGCCTTCGTCTCAGACCACGTCCTTGCGGGCCAAAATGGCGATGGCGACGTGACATGACGAAAACCGTGCTGCGGATACAAGGTGGTTCGCGACTGTACCGGCTCATGCTATACTAATGCCTACGTTTGCTTCACGGCCCGAAACCACGCGAAAGCCCCGCCCGAAGTAGTCCAAAGACCGAAAGGCCACCTGAATTGGCAAGCGCGTCCCCCCCGCCCTAGTTGACCAAGCGCCTACGGGGACTGGGATACCCTGAAGAGAGCTCCAGACACCACCCACGCACTACATCACACTACTCATGATATGACATACACCACAAGTGTTTCTTTCGTTTTCGTGGTACTATCGTTGCTTTTGAACAAGTTACACATCATACCGCTATCCAGCGCAGCTGTCAACAACTTAGGCTCTAACCTGACATGTATCACGTTGACCGTGCGCAGCTGCGGGGGATGGGGAGGCCGACCAACACCGCGAATCCCCCGGGCCTCTCCCAGGGTGCGTTCTGATCAAAACCTCGAAGCGAACCAAGGAGTGGCGACGAGGGCCAGCCGGGCCCCAAAATGCAACGAGGCACGGCAGCGACAGTGGTGCCGTGTCCCAGATGAAGGCCGAGATCGAAGGAAAAAACGCCCCATTTGAAAAACATGCCATTTGACATCTGGTTTTTGGGCAAAAGCCCAGCTTTGTCTGCCGTTCGGGACGATCTGGGCACCCCCAGAACGCTCTGGACGAGGCGCAGCTTCTGGATAGCGCCAAGAGGCTGTAAAACGCGCCTGGGAACCAACGGAGGTCTTTGAAAGCGTCCGTCGAAGATCGTCTGAGACCTGGGTTGTTCGCCCCCCTGAGCCACCACCCCACTCTTGGCTTAAGTCGGGCGTGTCCCCCTACAGGGGGATTTTCAACGAAGAATTAAGAATACACCAAAAATGCTCCAACATGGCCGAAAAATGATCAAACAATAGTCCCCTGACTATTTCTTGACTGTGTTTGAATATCCCCCCTGTAGAGGGACAGGCCCGACTGAAGCCCAGGTCTTCAGGGCACAGAGCACTCCAAGCGCGAAGCCCTTTCTCAATGTGTTCGGCCTCCGGGGGCCCCCGCCCGGCCCCTGGGCCGTCAGGAAGCCGGAGCCCCCGGGGAAGGGGGGTCGAGGCCTCAAGGGCCCCGACGGGAAGCATCCGCATGGGCCTCACGAGGACATCGTATAGTGCGATGTGTCCTCCCCGGAGGCGTGCGTCGGCTCGAGCAGGCGACACATTGGCGGCCTAGAAGTTGGCACCAACACCAACACAGGGGGTTGCCTCCGCAGGGGGAAGACGATCCTAGATTTCGGTGTTGGTGGTAATAGTTTGGCCACCTTGGAAGCCAGAATATTACCACCATCACCGAGATCGTGATCGTCTTCCCTCGGTGGAGGCACACCGCCGATCTTGGTGTTGGTGTCAACTTCTGGGCCTGCGAAACACAACCCTCTTGTGCTAGATCGCTGCCCTGACGGCATGGACGGAACACGTCGGCCACTGAGCATATACTAGAAGACCTCTGAGCGCGCGCAGCGCCCCTTTGGGGTTGACGCGCACGTCGTCTTAGCATGTGTGGGTGATGCCGGCCGATGCATGGGGCCATCGGGTAGCACAGCCAAGTCGCACAAGAAGGATGCGCGGTAAGGATGCAAGGGCCTTGGAGGGCCATGTTGGCGTTCTCGAACGGGGCTGGCCAGCGCAAGTCGACATGGATGGGCCGAAGGGTTGAGTATGCAAGGGTACCCCTTGGGGTCACCAACAGGTGCCGATACCGCTACTCCACGGACCTCTCCCGGGGCGCGTTCTGAGCAGGACTTCGACGCGACTCCAGCCGTGGCGACGAGGGCGGCCACCCAGGAGGCCCAAAAGGGCAAGAACGCGAGGAAGGGCGCACGCGAGGAAGGGCAGCGGTGTCGGTACATCTGCGCCGTCCGAGGGCAGCCTTAGAAAATCGCCGAAGGGCAGCGATAGGGGGGGGGACTGGTGCAGGGGGGGAACACATCGACCTGGCATCGGCAGTGCATCACCGATGGATCGGCGAGAAGTCTCCTGTGGCAACGCCGCACGCTCCTGGGTGGGGGTGGGGCTATCAGACCCCTGTCGGCGATCCACGTGGGCGCGTGGGGTCGATGCACTCCCCCCATTCCCATCCCCCGCTATCTCGGGGGCGCGCAAACATGGGTTAGCGATCCATGGATTTGGCGCGCGGTCGCCAAATCCATGGATCGGGGGAAGTGCCCTCCGCAAAGTGCGGCCGGTGCCGCCTCGCTCGGCGGCAGAACTCCAGGACTTCCCATGGAGACGGGACCCGTCGCTGATCCACGCCCCCTTGCTCCATGTTGGCGATCGCCTGACATTTGAGCAGGGACCGACCGTCCTGGCATTCCTATAAGTCATACCACGAAATTCTTGGAACCCAAAAATGTTCCAAGAACAAAACACTGTTCTCAGAACAGATTCCCGATGTGCTAAAACAAGACGGTCCCAGCCAGAAATGTTCTGAGAGCATCTCCTGGACACCACAGCAGGCTCTCGGAACAGTGCTTCGTAGGGCTATATAGGCGAGCCAAGCCGCTTCGCCACAGCTTGAGACAGACTACTTGGACGCCCGAATTATCCGGGGTAACTCGGGTCCGGGGTAACTCGGGTTTGGGTTCCCGAAAAACGAACCCGAGTTAGCCCTGACCCGAGTTACACCTGATGATTCGGGGCTCTGGACGCCCGAAATATCCGGGGTAACTCGGGTCCGGGATAACTCGGGTTCGGATTCCCGAAAAACGAACCCGAGTTAGCCCTGACCCGAGTTACCCCTGATGATCCGGGGCTCTGGACGCCCGAAATATCCGGGGTAACTCGGGTCCGGGATAACTCGGGCTCGGATTCCCGAAAAACGACCCCGAGTTAACCCTGACCCGAGTTACCCCGGATGATCCGGGGCTCTGAACTACCGTTGCCCCCGGACTGCTCACCCTCCCGGTGCGACCTGACCGCGGCCAGCGGGACCCCGCCTGACTACCTACCAAACCACCCCAACCCAACCCGAAGACCCGAATTTGACCCGAATTTCGGGTTGGGGGGGGTACGGGTTCCATGTGTTTTTTCGACGTTCCCCGACCCCCCCCCACTGGAAATGGAGGGCAAATGGAGGCCTTCGGGTTGGGTTGGGGTGGTCTGGTAGGTGGTGACCGCCGGCGCCGGCCCGCGCGCGGGGCCCGAGCCCGCGAGGAGGCCGCCCGCTCCAGCGAGCCCGCCGCGGGCGGCGGGGGCCCCGCCGGGGGGCCCTCGGGGAGCGCCCGCCGCCGCGAGGCGCTCTCCTGCAGGGGGGAGCGGCAGCCCTGACCTTCCAGGAGGGCTCCAACCAAAAAAAAATCGGCGGCGAGCGAGGGGGTGGGGAAGCGAGAAGGGGCGGGCCTTCTCAGAAGGCTCGGAAGTCCCTTAGCCTTCTGAGAAGTGTTCTGAGCCTTCCCCGAAACACACACAAAAGAGTCCTGCGAGGGCCAGAGGGCTTCTGAGAAGTCCCGCCGCCTTCTGAGAAGGCCTTCTCCTTCTCACTTCCCCCCCTGGCCCGCCGCCGGAAAGAGCACCAGGACCTGGACATCTGAACTCCTGTCGAGGGTGCTAGGCGGCCCAGACGGGTCTGTCGGTCTGAAGGGCTACTTTGTCAGCACTCTTGGAAGGTCAGGGAGGAGGGCGGGGGGGGGCGACCTGGCCCAGGGAGGGACGAGGAGCCCATGGAGGTTCGAGGTCTCGAGGTCTTCCGACGCCTTCGCGGGCCCCCGAACAGGTTCCCCGGCCTCGGGATGCCGTCCAGCGGCCGCGCCTCGCCGAGAGCGTTCCAAAAGGGGGTGCCCGCATCCTCCCGCACGGCCGCCAGAGGCCCGAGCTGTGGCCCGGCAGCCACCGGAGGGCTGGCTCAGTGGGGGGGGGTCGACCCGAGCCGGGCGGCGCCTCGTCGGGGATCTCCTGCCTCGGGTCATGGAGGGGCCCTGGGACACACACATAAGTGCACACCAATAAAAAGATTCCCCACATTTCCCCGTATCTTCTGGGTTTTCGCCTTCCCCCCCACTTCCCATATTTTCCCACATTTTCCTGGGGATCGCCGATTAACTGTGTCTGTGTGTTTTTTCCCCTCCTGAGGTCAATCCAGACCCGGGTCAACAGGAACCCAAAAAACGGCCATGCGGGAAGGAAACACTGCAGCGCAGGTCTTCGCAAACCCGGGCGCCCTGGCTGACCCCCGTTTGCACTGACCCCCGTAGGCCCCGACATCGCCGATGGGCGATAGGACGCTCCCGGCACCGCTGCCCCGGCCTTTCCGGGGAGCTTCCACAGCGCCCCAGGAGGGCCCAAGACGCCTCCCAGGAGCCCCCAGAATTCGAAAGGATGGTCCAGGACGCTCCCAGGCAGCCCAAGTCAGCAGGAGCCCCCAGAATTCGAAAGGGATGGTCCAGGACGCTCCCAGGCAGCCCAAGTCAGCCTTCCGACGGCTCTCGAGGCCCCCGAGGGAGCGACTCCGAGCGTCCCCGGGCGGGCGGGCTACATGTGGGGCCCCCGCGGCCGGGAACGCCTGCTTCGCACGTCGCGCCACGCCGGCTCTGGCCTGCCGTGCTTCGGGGCGGCACGCTGGCTGGACCAGAAAGCAAGCGACAGCACTCGGCGGTGGACAGACCTCCCCTTAAAGGAAACGGCCTGGGACCGAAACCCGCGGACCTGGACCTACAAAACTGACGGCCGCGACGCCCTCTCGCGACCCGAAAACGGCGAATTCCTTCATCGACGTGTCAGGGTAGGAGGTCTATCCACCTCCGAACCACCCCACCTGCGGCCCCACGGGCCGCAGCGTGTACCAGGGCGTCTGGCGTGGGTGTTTGCAGGGTGTACGCGGCGGCCCGCGAGGGGCCGCGGCGCAACATTGGAGGGCCGTATAGGCGGGGTGGTGTCGCTTGCTTTTTGGCCGGCTGCGGTCGGGAACTCTTGCCTCGCATGCCGCACCACCGGCTCTTGCATGCCATGCTTCGGGGCGACGCTCGGCGGCGACGATCGGGGCGAAAAGCCCAGGGCTGGCATTACACGCATTCGCCCGGGAGCCTCTTCAAGGACATAGATCATCGGCGCACCTGAATACATGTATTTCTCCCCTGGGCTATTCACCCCTATCGTCGCCTCTGAGACACGCTGACCACGCCCCAGCCCCCCCCGCGCATCCACGCCCCGAGCCTTGTCCGGCCTCCAGCTCCGAGAAGCGGCACGCTGCCGGCTTGCGAGGCACAGCGCGTCGCCAGGGCCACCGCCGCGACGCGCGAAGCAAACGCTCATGGCCAGAGATCGTCGATGGGTGGGGGAACAGGGGTCGATGCCTCTTGGAGGCGGCTGGAGGGGTCTAAATTATTGGATGGACCTCGAGACACTTGGTCAAGAAGAGGGGGTAGGGCAAGTCCGCTAAACATCTGTCCCCAGACCCCTCCCAAGGCCCAAATGGATAAATGTTTCATTCCGGATCCGTGTTTGACGGCCCCGGGCCCCGAACACGGCCCGCGGAGACTGCCAACGTCAAGCAACTCGGTGGAACCCAGAGGCCCGCACCTCTCTGCTGACTGGAGCGGGTGCTGGGCCACCTCGGACCCCTGGAGGAGGAGGAGGAGGAGGAGGAGGAGGAGGAGGAGGAGGAGGAGGACGAGGAGGAGGAGGCGGAGGAGGAGGAAGAAGAGGAAGAAGAAAACGAAGAAAAAGAAGAAGAAGAAGGAGGAATAATAATAATAAGAAGAAGAAGAAGAAGAGGAGTGGAGCGAGTGCTGGGCCACCTCGGACTCCCAGCTGCCTCCAAGGCCCCCCCCTGAGCCAGTCCCTCCCCTGGCGTTGGCCCGCAACTCCGACAGCGCGGCGGCCAGGCGCGCCGTGGCGGCCTCGAGCGCGGCCCGCTCCGCCTCCAGGCCGCCCCGCTCCCAGAGACCCTGCGGCCGCAGGGGGGGGGGGGGGGCACGGCCAGGAGCTCGTGCCCGGCGCGGCGCCACGGCGGCCCCGGCGACACGCCATGCCCAGGGCAGCGGATGGCGTCGCGCTCTCCGCTCCCCGGGCTGGGAGGCCGGGCCAGGAGGTCCAGCCAAAGAGGTGGAGTTGGAGGATCGCGCCGCATCGCCGATGCAGCGGGGATGCGCGATCTCGAGCCCGAATTTCTCCATCCCGACGTTGCCGACGCATCCCCGATGCATCGGCGATGCAGTGCGATCCTGGGACCCCACACACCCTGGCCCAAATTGGGAGGCTTCCAGGTGAGCACACGGTCTTGTGAGCAAAATGCCGTTCCTGGGCCCCCTCAATTCGCATCGCGAAGCGCGTAATGCTGCAGTCGTTTGCGCCCTCGCGCCTCCTCAAGGAGAAACTCTCTGGCCCAGACTTGGAAGATCGATTGCAGTTTCGCCCCTGCGGGTGACCAGAAAACGCGCTCCTGTGGAAATTTCCCCAGGCGTCTCTGGAGGCTCCTCCGGCGTCGGAGAAAACGGGGTGCCCCGAGACGATCGGGGCACCGACCGCACAGTGAGGCCCTCAAAGTCTGCACGTCACTGGGCCGCCCGTCACCTGACGCGGCACTGGGACTCAAAACTCCTGCTGGCCACCAGGGACAAGGGTCCTGATGGACGGGCACGCGTCCTGGACCACCAGGCTTTCTCCAAGATCAGCTGCTCGTCCAGGGCCGTTACTTGACGGTCCTGGGGCCCAGGAAGGGCCCAATGCTCACCCTCCTCATGCTCCTCCTCCTCCAATCTCCTCCTCCATCCTTGTCCATCCTCCTCCGCCTCCTCCTCCTCCACAATGCTGGTCCTTCTAATCCTCCTCCTGCTCCTCCTCCACCTCCGACTCCCCTCTCTCCTCCTCCTCCCCTCTCTCCTCCTCTTTCTCCTCCTCCTCCTCCTTATCCTCCTCCTCCTCCTCCTCCTCCTCCACCTCCTCCTTCTTATCCTGCTCCCCTTCCTCTTCCTCTTTCTCCTCCTCCTCCTCCTCCTCCTCCTCCTCCTCCTCCTCCTCCTGCTCCTCTCCTCTTCTCCTCTGTCGTCCCCTGCATCCACCCCCCCCTCCCGACCCTCTCCTCCTTCTGAATGAAAGCGTGTGTCAACTCGCGGCGGTAACGGTCCTTCGGGGGAGGCGGCGGGGAAGGGGGGGTGCGCCCGCCCCCCGCCGTGTGAGTCGGGCACAACCGACTGTACCAGACGCACTGCTGCAGTGCCAGGGACACACTGGGGGGGGGGAGCACTACAGTAGCGGGGGGGAAGGGGGGGAGGGGGGGGGGAGGGGGAGAGGCTGGAACATCACGGGCGCTAAGGCCCAGAGGGTGGACAACAAAAATACTCTCAGACTCTCGATCCTCCCATCCTCCTCCTCCCCCCTTCCTCGCCTCGGGCGGGTGGAACTGGGGGCTGACCCAAACGGGGGGTGAAGAGAAGGGCCCTGACAGGGACTCTTTAGAGCCCCTCGCGGGCTCCCGGCGGCTCCAAAAGGGACCCTAAACGGACACCCAGAAGCCCTTTAGGGCCCCTCTGGGGCCCCTGAAATGGGCCCCTGCAGTGGGCCCCTGCAATGGGCCATTCAAGAGCCCCCTTTAGGCCCTGTTCGGTTTCCTAAGGGCACCTTGTGGGCACCCCAGTGGGCCTTTTTCTTCATCCCTTTTTGTTGGCTACCCCCCCCGAGGAGGAGGGGAAGGAGGGGAATGAGGAGGGGGAGGAGGAGGGAGGAGGACGGAGGAGGAGGAGGAGGAGGAGGAGGAGGAGGAAGAGGAGGAGGAGAAGGAGGAGGTGAGGAGGAGGAGGAGGAGGAGGAGGAGGAGGAGAAGGAGGAGGAGGAGGAGGAGGAGGAGGGGGGAGGAGGACTGCCGACCGCCCCATCCCCCGAGGGGAAGGCAGACCCAGGCCTCGGCCGCGGAGCCGCACGCGGCGTCGACGCCTGCGGGGCGCCGACGCGCGGACGGCGGCGGCCGCCGACGCAGGAGGCACTCGCCTGCCGAAACGGAGCCCTCGCCTGCAGAGGGCCCCCCAGAGCTTTGTGGGCCCTGGAGACGACAGGGCCGTTTTTTCACCGGTTCCGTTTTGCCGTTGTTTTGCCGCTTCCGACACCGTTTTTTTACCGGTTCCGTCGCCGTTGTTTGACCGGTTCCGGCTCCGGTTCCAATCCTGGAGCCGTTTTTTGCCGTTTCCGGTCGCCGTTTTTTTTGCCGTTTCCATTTTCAAGGGACATGTTTTGGAAACGATGAAAAAACGGGTCTGCCGTTTCCGGGGCCCACAAAGCCCCAGAGCCTCCTTTGATGAGCAGCAGAGATGCCCCTCATCTCGGGCCGGGCGAAAGGGGGGGATAGCAAAATGGAGGGGGTTGAGAATCAGCTTACGTGGCTGATTTTCCCGGCGCCTCCTGGCGCCCGGAGGCGCCCATGTATCGAGGAATGGGCACGGCGGCGGGGCCGAAACCAGCTGCATGCAGCAGATTTCGTAGCCCCCCTTTCCCTATCCCCCCCTTTCGAACGGCCCGATAATTCTTCGGGCGGGAGCCTAGGGTAGGAGGGCCAGAAGCATTAAGGAGAAAGGGGGGTGATTTGCAGATGTCTCGAACGAAAACACCCACACGTTCAGGGATTACACTAAAAAGCCATGACCGAAGTTAAGCCGCGAATTCAGTGCGTTATTGGGTTAAGAGGTTGTATTACGCTGAATGGTCTTTTCCCAGTTGATTCAGGAAACAACTCTTGGAAGGCCTTCGCAAGATCGACTGGGGACTAAGGCAGCATTCAGCCAGATTGGCCCAGCGTAGCCCCAGGATTGAGCCCACGACTGAACCAGCTCAATCGGGATCAGCAGGAATTGATGGGACTGTTTGGATGTTCGTTCTGGGGACCTTCCTGGAGCCACTCGCTCCACTCGTGCGTCGAAGCTGCGTGGAACGTCCATCGATCTGGGTCGAACCTGAGTCGAACCTGAGTCGAACCTGAGTCGAACTTGAGTCGAACTTGAGTCGAACTTGAGTCGAACTTGAGTCGAACTGGGGTCGAACAGATCCGTTAGGTTTGGGCGCCCGAGTTATCCGGGGTAACTCGGGTCCAGGGTAACTCGGGTTTGGATTCCCGAAAAAGGAACCCGAGTTAGCCCTGACCCGAGTTACTACTGATGATTCGGGGCTCCGAACGCCCGAGTTATCCAGGGTAACCGCATGCCGATGATAATAAAGGGACCCCCCCCCTTCAGTGTTTAGAGTTGATTATCGTCGCCCTGTACAAAATTCAAATTGGGCGGCGAGCGCTGAGGCCGAACTTCATTATCACCTCGAAACGCTATGTTGAGATAGCAACATCAAGCGATGTTGATATAGCAACATCAAGCGAAGCGATCACACTTTTTCAGGATGTGTCAAGCGAAACCAATAATTTTGGGAGGCAGACTCAAACGAAACGAGCAATGTTCTTATTATTATTCTACTTTCCTCTTCTTCTTTTATATTTCTATCTGTCCTCACGCTCGCCTGAACTTTTTTATCCCTGGGGTTGATTATCCATGGAAAATGAAGCACATGAGCTACCCTACACGAGCACTTTAAAAAATCAATTTTCATAAAGCGTTTGTGAACTAAAATTGATAGATTTGGAACTTTGGATTTTTCCTTGCTTCGTCCTCTTCTTATTATCCTCTTCTTCTTCTTTCTTATTATTATTATACTGTATTCTTCTTCTTTTATATTTCTCTCTGTCCCCACGCTCGCCTGAATTTTTGTATCTCTGGGGTTGATTATCCATGGAAGTTGAGGCACATGAGCTACCCTACACGAGCACTTACAAAAAACAATTTTCATGAGAGATAAGCCATTGTTGAGGATATTTCTATGAAAACTAAACGCCAAGGATGTCTCAAAACGTGCTCGGCTTGGTCTCCTCTTGATCATCTCTTACTTCGAGATTATGCTGAGGTCTGCTGGGCTACTTTTATTATCTCTCCCTGAACCCCGAACTTTATTATCCCCTAGTGTTTATTCTCACGGGCATGAGGTTAACTCGGGTCCGGGGTAACGCGGGTTTGGATGCCCGAAAAACGAACCCGAGTTATCCCTGACCCGAGTTACCCCTAATGATTCGGGGCTCTGATAGGTGGGCTCCAGGAAGGTCCCCAAAACGAACATCCAAGACTGTGCTGGGTCGGGCCGGCTTCGGCCACGGACGTGCCTCCTCGTTCTCCTGCTGGTGTCCGCGCGGGCCCCCAGGGTGCTGCGTGCAGTGGGCGGCCGCCCCTGCTCCTGGAAGCAGGAGCGCCGGACGAGGGACGGAGCCCCATTCCTTGACCCCAACCCTTACCGGCCTCGAACTTATCCCTATCCCTAAGACTGACACGCCAAAAGGCGATGACAAGCTTAGGGATTCGCCGTCAACTAAGAAGGGGAATCCCTAAGATTGGCATCGTGACGAGGAGATGCCCAGCATAGGGATAGGAAGTATGTTCCAGGCTGGTAAAACCCCGCCCGCGCGGACGAGGCACGCTGGAGAAACGGCCGTGGAAGGACCTGATTACTGAATGTGAGGAGCGCAAAGGCCCTTCCAAACCCGCACGGATCCTCCTTTCGGCGGAGCGCGCCATCATTGCTGAGGCAAAAAGGATGGGTCGCCAGAAAGAGCCATTCTCACGCGCGTCGCCCTCGGCTTGGCGAAATCTCAAGGTCAACAGAACACTGCATGACAACCGTCATTATCCCTGGCCGTACATGTCCAGGCCCTGACGCCTGTAAGACCTGTGCAGATCTGGATCGTCCTCTGGACGGTCGTTGCTGCGGCTGCTGTCCGAGTCCGAGTAGCGCTGGAAGTTGCGATTGCGGCACGAGTCGGAAAGGGCGCTGTGGTCGAAGGTGCCATCGCTGCGACTGCTGTCCGACTCGTGATCGCTGGTCGACTCGACGGAGTGCCAGTCTGACTACCTACCAGACCACACCAACCCAACCCGAAGACCCGAATTTCGGGTTGGGGGGGCAAGGATTCCACATGTGTGTTCTCGATGTTTCCCGGGGCCCCCCCCCTTGAAATCGAGGGTAAATCTGAGCCTTCGGGTTGGGTTGGGGTGGTTTGGTGGGTGGTGACAGTCGTCGTTACCCTCAAGGTTTAGAAACGGCACCGTCGGCTCCACCAGTGGCCCGCAGCCGGCGAAGAAGGCCACCGTGCGCACGCACCCTTGTCTGTTGGGCGCAAGCCATAGAGGGGCGCGGCGCGACCATGCTGCGCCGCAGGGGCTGCTCGACGTGGCGCAGAGCCCAACGAATTCTGCTGCACAGCTGCAGCCGCCAACTCCCCGTCCGCCCTGGGCGTGCAGGCCGCGTACTTCAGCGCGCAGCCCTCGATTCGCACGGCCTGTCCTCCTCCTCCTCCTCCTCCTCCTCCTCCTCCTCCTCCTCCTCCTCCTCCTCCTCCTCCTCCTCCTCCCGCAAGTGGGGGGCGGACGGTACAGAACGCAACAGGGCAGACGCGCGAGCAGGGTGCCCCCCATCCGAGCCGGGCGGCGCCTTGGTAGCGGCCGCGAGCCTGGACGCCGTCGAGGCCCATGGGCAGCTGCGGTGGCAGGGAGGTCGAGGAGGAGGAGGAGGAGCAGGAGGAGGAGGAGGAGGGGGAGGAGGAAGCGGCTCAGCAGGGACAATGACCACAAGGATGCGGATGATGAGGCACGGGAAAATGAGGAGGACGAGGAACAACAGGAGGAAGGGGAAAAAGGGAGGGCGGCGACGAAGGCTCGAAGGCAGCCCCTCAGCATCCTCGCGGCATGCGGTGCTTACCTCCAGAGTTGAGCAATAACTCCACAGAACGAAGGTCGAAGTACTTTCCTTGGAGAACCTTCGAGCTCGGGGTGGAGGATCCAGACCTGCCGCCCAAACGTGCGAACCCCAGCAGAAGGCCCCCCGGAGGCCGAACAGACCCCCTCTCGCCCAGAGAGAAGTCGTGACTGCAGCCCGACACCAGAGGGTCTCGGGACGGACCCTTCGAGCCTGGCCTCCGTGACCAGCCAACCGAAACCTCCTGGCGAATCTGGCCGTGGCCCGACGCCGGCTGGTCCGAGCGAGAGGAAGGACTGACCCTTCGAGTCTGGCCCCAGTGATCGGCCAGGATCGGACGTCGGACATCGGCCTGCATCATGCACCGCGAGGGTGCCGCGGGGCGGGGCCGAAGCGCCCAGAGACTACTGGCTAGCGTGCAACAATTCACACCATCGCACAACGACAACATGCGTGCCAGGTACGACTGACCAGGATCTGCTAGCGAACATGGCCGCGGCAACGAAGACCCCCTTTCCGTGGCCCGGTGGCCACCCCGAGCCCGCCCCCTGACTCACCGCACGGTGTGGCCACCGCACGGCCCTGGGGCACCCCGACGGATGACCCCCCCCAGCCGAGAGGCCGCTGGAAAGGCCTCCAGAGGCCTGTCGGCGCGGCCAAGAGAGCTGACCGCCTACCAGACCACCCCAAACCAACCGGGAGACCCGAATCTCGGGTTGGGGGGAGGGGGGGGGCTCCATTTGTGTTTTTTTCAAAGTTCCCCGAACCCCCCACACTGGAAACGGAAGGCACATTGAGGCCTTCGGTTGGGTTGGGGTGGTTTGGCGGGTGGTGAAGAGCGCGCACAGCGCGCACACAGCCCTCCCAAATGGGTCCGAGTTAACCCGGGCGATAAACCGGGTTATCGGGCTTGCCCCCCCCCCCCCCCCCAGGAGAACCTGACATTGCCAGTTGTGCAGGTCCGCGGGAGGGGGGGGGGGGGCGCGGACATATGCAGGGCTGCCCACAGCGCGAGGGTTAGGTCATCGGCCAGCCGATTCAAAAAAAACGGTCTCCCGATGGGGTCGGAGGCTCGGCGAGGCGGCTCGATGCGTGTTTGGAGTCCCCAGACGGTGCGGTGACAGACCGTGCGGTGACCTCGAAATCCCCCAAGACCTCACCGCACGGTCCGTCACCGCCCGGTTTCTTGGGACCCTGGAGGCCCCCGTCGCCCGAGACGTCCTCGGAGAGGGGCTCGAGTCCCAAAACCGTGCGGTGGCCCCGAATCCCCACCGACTCACCCCGCGGTGTGGTCACCGACTTTGAGGGTAGGTCTTTGGGATATGTTATAGTATCGGGAGCATAGCTCGCGCGCGCCGTTGCCTTTGGCCCAAGGCACGCGCGCCCTATTTGCCCGGACACCGCGAGTGTTCGCTATGTGCTGGAAAGATCACTACATCGATCTTATCCTATCTTATCCGTCCACCCCTCATACTGTACCTTCACAGCAGAGCGATGGACGCAATTTGCCAGGCTATATGCCATATTTCAGCTACCAGGCTCACTTTCGACTTGGTAGCGGAGCTGGCCGCACTCTCGTGTGGTCAGCTCTTGCTCTTCTTAGCCTCATATTCTTCGGCACGATCTTCGTGACCACCTACCACCCTGCGCCACCACTCCCAGTACGTTTACGAGGATCTATCCAAGAGCAAGAAGCAACACGAGAGGTACGACGTCTAGACGACCAGACTGGTACCATATACGCTTCATCATTGCGTTACCACCAACCGCTCGGCAACGAGCTAACAGCGCAATACTTGAAGCAGGGGCGGGGAGACCCGCCAGACAGAGCGCCTCGAAGACTCGACAAGGCGCTACCCCAGCGCGACAACGCGCATCATAACCGTCCTTCTTTACACATTCTCGGGCTAGTCGTTTTCGCTATTATATGGTTCGCGCTGGGGGCAGCAATCGGACACATGCGTCGTGGAGAAAACAGCACCGATGGGCAAACACATGGCCCATATTGGGACCCTCAAGGTAATGTACCTTTTCGTGAGTACATCTACGAGGTCAACGCATGGCTCAACGTTACAAGCGGACGTATGACGCCACAGGCCCAAGCGGCCGCAATACAACGCGGCCTAGGTGGCCTAGCGAGGACACTCGCCATGAGGGTACCGCCTGACATTATAAACTATGGTGCTGACATCGATGGGGTCCACACCGACCCAGTGACCTACATCATGTTCCTCCTAAGCATGAAGTTCGAACGCCTGGAAGATGAGCGACAGCTCACTTCCGGCACACAACTCATCGACTTCCACGTGCCCCACGGGGAACGAATCGATGTCACCCTTACCCGATTCGAAATGGCCCGACTTGAGGCACAGTCGGTGGGATTCGACCTTCCCAACTTCCAACTGCTAACCACTATCCTATTCCGCGCCTTAGGCGTCGGCAACCAGCGAGCCATGCAACTCTTACAGCCACTCAATCACCAAATGCCCCGAACACAACAACAGTATGATGAGTTGCTGGAGAGGATGCGTTCGATAGGCCACCTATCTGAACGGTCTCCTGGTAACATAGGATCTGTGTTTGGAAGGGGAAGGGGATCTGGTAGTGGAAATTTCTACACTACCTTGACTACTGAAGCCCAGCCTGGAAACGGGCCCTCAAGCATATGGGCCGATGAACCAGGTGAATCCACTGCGTTACTAGCAGGGGATCGATCACAACCAAGCTGGGCAACCAGCCCTCCTTCTAGAGAACCACAACCACACCGTTCTCTATGGGGGGAATCAAACCCCCTAACCGACGGTGTATCCACCTACTTGGGAGACGAGGATTTCGACTCCGGCACCGATACAGACACTATATCATCAGATGGTGTTGAAGCTTTAGATTGGTCAGATATGATGAACATGGATAACGACAATCAGCGTGCTGAACATTTGTTCTGGTTATTACAACAGGCTAAACGAAGGTGGAGGAGGTTCACACGAAAACCAGTGCGTCGTGTTAGAAGGAGGATACGTAGAAGTTTTAGAGAGGAAAGGGTAAAGGCAAGCGAGGTCGTCGGAGGTTGAACGGACGAGGCATCGCGGCATTTCTCCAGAGGCTCTCAGATGAACAACATGATGAGATATTCTTTGGGGGAAAAGGCCGTGGTAAAGGCCGTAGAGAGACCTCAGGAAAAGGCAAAGGTAGGCGGGGAAACCCGCGAGGTAGAGACGGCCAGGTTCTTAAATGCCATGAATGTGGTAGTTCCGATCATCTTGTGCGAGATTGTCCAGTGAAGGGAAATGGAAAGGGCAGGTCGACCGAAGTCCATTTTGGCTCAAGTGAACCATCCATTGAGTATCTGAGCCTCCAGGACTTTGAGGCTATGGAGCAGATATTTTTCACTTGGGTTGTTGGCATGGACAACGTCGACGAGCTCGAGGCGTATGGTCATGGATTGTACGCGTACTACCTCGAGTACGTCCGCCGGTTCGTTATGGGCAATAACGAGCTCACTCCCGTGGACCACGGTGCGCTGGGAAACCAGCCTCTTTCTTTCTTCGACTGGATGTTCGGGAACCCAGGCAACATCATGGCCTACGAGAGCGACGACGAGGACACCACTATAGAGGCTTCGCCTTCCGAGGTTCAACGAAACCTCGAACCTCCGCCCGAAATCCCGCCTGGAAACAGGCCGTCTTTGATGGGAGAATATCCCCAGACCACTGAAGACTTAATTGAAATGGAGTCTCAGGCATTTGTTCAGGCCTTCATTGCAGGCGAACCAGATACTCCGTTCATACCTCCTGGTTCGCTTGCTCCAGGCGAATATGGACCACGCACCCTTTTGCAGACCCTCATGAGGATGCATGAGATACTTATTACTGGTTATCCTGAGAGTCAAGAACATATCGAAGCTGACATTATGATAGAACAGGATACTGATGCTTGTGGTAGCTCAGAGCTGTTGTTGGCAGCTCTGACTCTCATTGACAGCGCGCATCCTCAGGACGTGCAGAGACACTTGATATACTCCCGTGGTAGATGGCGTAATGCTCTAGAAATGGCTATTGCTATGCGCGGTCATGATCTTCCTCCGCCAGGATGGGGTCTCCAGGCGGTGGGAATGAGGCCAAACCATACGGCCATGCGCAACATTGCTGGGCAGCCTGTGCTCGGCAACGAGCCTGAGCCGACAACAGTGCCTCCTACCCCGGGACAGCCGAGCGACGCACAGACGCCGGCTATGCAGGGAAACCTGCCTGTACCAGATACGCCAATGGCCATCATCATCGGTAGTTCGACATCAGAAGAAGTAGAAGGCGATGGTTGCGGGTTAGATGAGGATGACGTCACCATCCTCATGATGGACGTGAATTGTGAGGAAGAGGTTGACTTCGATCCTGACGAGTCTGAATCATCATCACCATCGGCACAAGCACCATTTGCGCCGAGCTCCACCCAGCAGGGAGACCTGCCTCCATCGGACGATCCATCTGGGATCGCACAGGAGCCTCCTCAGGCACCTCCACCGGGTGCCGCTCCTGCTGCTTCGGCAGCTTCTTCTGATGAGAACACCAGAAGGTCTCGTTCCCATACGCGCGTCAGAGAAGAGCCACATCCACAGGCTCGACTTCCTCGTGAGTGGAGGCAGGCTGGCCCAAAAGAACACGCTCTCAGGAGAGGTGGCCAGCTACTTCCGTACAACGACCCAAGACGCCGAAAAGGGGAACACTCGGCCTTCGGCAAGGGCAACCCTGCCTGTAGGGACAGTGATGGCAAGGCCATCCGCGGAGG